GATAGATAGATAGATAGATAGATAGATAGATAGATAGATAGATAGATAGATAGATAGATAGATAAAGATTCCTGTTCAAAGAAGATCATAGCATCAGCAGCACTTTATAAATTTAGAATAAAGTTTGGCTGACAGATAGTAACTTTCACAGACCACCCTTGGATTTCACAGGGGAACAGAATTCTATTCTTGGGTCATAGACCTAGGATAAATGTTATCTCTCTATATCCCAGCTGTCAACACTTAATTCACCAGGAAAAGAGAAATAATAGCAGTTATTACTTTTCTTGGGGATACAGTTGAAGCCGAGTAGTTTAAAAAAAGTTTTCATTGCTCCCTCAGAACGTTCATTTAAGTGCACGATGTTCTGGACTCAGCTGTTTTCTCACCACACACATAGAATTGGGAGATCCGAGAACAGAGAATAACAACCTTCCCGTATGTCATAATTAAAACAACACCTGTGCTCTCGTGTGAATATTCAAAGAGCTTACTAGCTCCGATAAGCTCCTCCTAAAATAATTCGAGAATCTCAGATAGCATGCCCTTAAAAGTAACGGGATTAGGAACAATAATAAATAATCTTTGTTTCGACCGAGTTAGAATGCTATTCCAGCAGGATACAATGTTCTAAGCTAAGATCAACAGAGATGGCATGATGCTATTCCTGGCATCGCTGACTTATGTCCTAGCTGCATCTGTAGGCTGCTTAAAGCTTCATGTACAAGATGAAATAATTTTGCCTGGAAGTAATTACATGATGAGGGAATATAAAACGTAGAGAGAAAGATTCCAAGACTCTTAGAACCACAACTCCACGCATAATTCTTGAGAAAAGGACTGGATCGAGAAGTTCAACTACACCTTTAGTTTAAGTTACGTATTCTCAAATTACAATTAGGAATATACATTTTAAAATGTATATATCTCTCTCTATAAAAATGGCTGTTTGTGTCTGTGTATGTGTTCATTCGTTCCAGCATAACTCTGGAACGCCTTGAACAATTTCAACCAAACTTGGTACACGGATTACTTACTTTCTGAAAAAAAAAATACTGTGAGAGTAAGGCACCCCTAACACCCCTTGGGGGGGTGTTCTGTTAAGATACACCCTGTTGTGCCTTAAAATGGCTTCTACTGTACGGCACAGTGGAGTTGCCATGGTAACGGCTTCACAGAACTCCACAAGGGGGCTCCCTCTGGTAAAGGGGAAAATCCAACATTAGACATTGCGTTTGGTCCGGACATTTCCCTCCTATAAATAAATATGTGGGCAACGCCAGGTTATCAACTAGTAATTATACATACATACATACACACATAGATACATATCAATATATACATACGTATATATTGTATGTAATATGCATATTTAAACTCACATTCAGCTCAGCTGTATGTAATGTTAAAGATCAAAATATAATTTAGCATTTTTAAAATGCCTTCCCCTTCATACCATCTCTCTTCCTCTTCTGAAGAGCCGAGGTGGCGCAGTGGTTAGGGTGCAGTACTGCAGGCCACTTCAGCTGACTGTTAGCTGCAGTTCGGCGGTTCAAATCTCACCGGCTCAGGG